GCAGTGGTTCTCAACCTGTGGGTCGAGACCCCTTTGGGGGTCGAACGACCCTTTCATAGGGGTCGCCTAAGACCATCGGAAAACACATATATAATTACATATTGTTTTGTGATTAATAACTATGCTTTAATTATGTTCAATTTGTAACAATGAAATTGGGGGTCACCACAACATGAGGAACTGTATTAAAGGGTCGCGGCATTAGGAAGGTTGAGAACCACTGCCCTAGAGGGTGTTGAGTGGGCTCTGTCGCTGCTGCTGGATTGCTCAACCAGTCCTTGCCCATGTGACAGGGTTGCTCGGGCCTCAGCAGGAGAAGCTCAGGGGCCAGTCATGGACAAGTGGCTGGCCATTGGCCTCTAATCCAAAAGACTTAAGGTCAGGACCAGAGTTAAATATTAGCTGTCTGGAACTTGTTTATAATTGGAAAGAAAAAAGATTCAGCACCCACTGATTAGTACCTTAGAAGAAACAGAGCCATTTGTTTGTTTATAGAGTGGTGGGTGCAATGATCAGTATTGAGGGCAAAGTTTAAACTCAGTTCCCTGCTTTCCTGGTGATAGAGAGAAGAAGGATAGGTACAAGGGGGTGGCAGTGCTGAGGGCTGACACCCTGCCCATGTCCACAGGCTATAGTACAGAAAACACCTGTCAAGAACGTAGGGCAAAAACTGTCAATCAGCTTATTGGTAAAAATGGGAAAACAGCTCTGTAGTAGTGCTGGACTCAAACCTACCATCCTAAACCCCCCACTCCCACCCCAGACCAGTAAATTAACCCCCATGCTGGGCTCTCTCAGCACAGAAAGTCCATTTATAATTATTAGATGACACCTCATAAATATGCTTAGAGGGGTTTAAAATGATATGAAACAAGGGCTGAAATAAATCGGTTTCAGATTAATTCCTAGGTACCTAGAAAGTAAATCATCAGGCTTGCCTTACACCACAATACACAAGTTAATGTTTTGCTGTGTGTATGTGTGTGTGTGTGTGTGTGTGTGTGTGTGTGTGTGTGTCCAAAGGCATATGTATGTCATATCTGTGCATGTACATGCAGAGGATAGGTGGTGGCTGAGAATTTTTCTGAGCCTCTGTTGTCTTACTCAATGAGAGAAAGTGCACTGGCTGAAAGTCAGAAGGCACATGTTCTAGTTCTGGTTCTATTAGAACTAGCTGTGTGCCTCTAAGCGAGTAATTTACCTCTCTGGGCCTTTGTAAATGAAAAATGAAAGAGTTGTTTTAGGTTATCCATAAAGACTCTGCCAGACCTTCTATTCTGTGGCTCTAAAATGAGTTCAAAGTATGTAACAGAGCTTTTTAGTGGCTTCATGGGTTTCCAAAACAGTTACAGGATGTCTTTCTAATAAGCAGACCTGATCATGTTAACTCCTTGCTTGAAAATCTTTCTAGAACTCACCAACACCCTCAGGATAAAGTCTGCTCTTTGGTAAGACACATTACCACCTCCCTACAAGCTCTAGTCCTTGATGGTATCTCCTTCACCCCTTCATGCCTTCCACACCCCACTTCTGCCAAATTGACCGATGCTCCTCCCCATCTCAGACCTCTGCAGCTCCCTCCTCTGTCCTCTCTGCTCCCACCCACCCCAAGGCCTCATTAGTCAACAGATGAGTGGCAAACTCATTAGTCAACAGAGCCAAATATCAACAGTACAACGATTGAAATTTCTTTTGAGAGCCAAATTTTTTAAACTTAAACTATATAGGTAGGTACATTGTTATTAACTTAATTAGGGTACTCCTAAGCTAGCCTTTGCTAAAAACGTCCTCAATCTGATTGAGGTATGTTCGCTGAGGTCGACCCCTTCCAACTCTCCCATCCACACTTGTCTTGTATACTTGTTTCATCTATCTCCTTTCGTTCATCCTCTCTATATGTTCAAACCATCTCAACATACCTTTCTCAATCCTCTACACATCTTCTTTCACTCCACAACGTTCCCTAAAATTAACTTAATAAACTTTACTTAAAGTTTTTTTTTTTAATATTTTATTGATTTTTCACAGAGAGGAAGGGAGAGAGATAGAGAGTTAGAAATATCGATGAGAGAGAACCATCGATCAGCTGCCTCCTGCACATCTCCCACGGGGGATGTGCCCGCAACCCAGGTACATGCCCTTGACCGGAATCAAACCTGGGACCTCTCAGTCCGCAGGCTGACGCTCTATCCACTGAGCCAAACCGGTTTCGGCTTTACTTAAAGTTTTAAGTCAACTTCGCACTGTATGTGCGCGCCCGCACATGGTATTCTGTGGAAGAGCCACACTCAAGGGGCCAAAGAGCCGCGTGTGGCTCGCGAGCCGCAGTTTGCCCACCACTGCCATAGACAATCAGCTCACCATCATCCTTTCCAGGAAGCCTTCCTCTGAATACCTTGCTACCCCACCCCACATCCTCCAAAACCCTCTGGCTCCCTCTCCCACTACACCGTCTCCCTCTCTGGGCTATGAGGTCTACCAGACAGAGAGCAGTCGTGTTGACCTCAACACTGATCACTGCACCGACCACACTATAAATAAACAAATAACCAGCACCTATTATTTCAGGGGCCTCTGGATCAATGTGTTGAAAGCCAACTTTATTTCATAAATAGAGTTTTCTTTTGTCTTTTAGCCTCTTTCTCTCTTCTTTCTTCAGTCTCAGAGATAAATAAACAGCCTTCAAAATGTGAACTGGCCCACTAAAAGGAAACAATTAAAAGGGGCAAGTAAATTCTGTGAACTAACCATGAGGCAAGGTGGCTTTCATGGAATTGATCGCTAGATGATTGATATTCAGCACATCAGCCTGGTTCTATCACAGTGCTTAGCACATAGTAGGTGCACAATAAAAGTTAGTTGTTACTATCATTACTCTTATTATCAGTGGCCACTTGATAAATATTTGTTGAATAAATAGAGGTCATTTGTGCACCCTGTTTTAAAGTCATGAGCAAGAAAAAGAAAACAAAACTCTTGGCTTTCCTCTTGCTTGCAACACTTCCCCTTTTCCATTCTCAGGTACAAAAATCTTACTCTTCAAAGCCTAGTTCCAAAGCCTCCTCCTCCAGGAAATCCTCCAAGCCCTGCAGGCAAAGTTCCTAGCTCTACAGCCTCCTCCATCTCACAGAACTGTAAGCATTTGTATATTATGTCCATCTATTCTGTAGAACCGTAAACTCCTTGAGCGAAGGAGCAAGCTCTTAACTCTGTGTCCCTGGCATCTAGCTGAGGGCCTGGCACATAGGAGGTGCTCATGAATGTTTGTTGGGGTGCAATAATAAAACGGGAAGAAGCAGCCCTGATTCTGGGTCTGACTCAGTCAGTCACTGGCTCTGTTACCTTTGCCTCTCAGTTTTCTCCATTTCCTTTCTAAAATGAGAGGAATGGATTAAGTCAACATTTCCCCTTGGAACCATTGTGATAATAGGCGTTTCCTCTGGTGGAGAGTGGGGATGGTGTGTGTGTGTGTGTGTGTGTGTGTGTGTGTGTGTGTTTTAGGAAAATTTGTCAATGCTGTGCTAAAGTTTTTTCGAGTTTTGTTTGTTTGCTCTTAGGCTTTGGATCTTCTCAGAGCCTGTTATATGTTCATGCCCACTATGAATTTCCAAGAGAAGGGTATAGTGTGCAGGGTTTCCCAAACTACTTCGACCAGGGGACTCTATGTAATAAAACATATTTGTGGGACTTGGGTTCTAAAGAACACTTTTAAAAGCACTAGATTAGCCAAACTGCCTCAGGGATCTTCTCTACTCTATCTGCTGTGTCTAGGCCCTGGGAATTCAAAGGTGACTCAGACACAGCCTTGTTGCAAGAAGAAAACACTTATGCTTAGGCAGCCCAAGACTGGGTAGGAACAGTCAGTGACCGAGGAGAGGTGCAGACGGAGAGCCATGAATCCAGAAGGGAGAGAGCGTCTGAGATGGCTTCACAGATGGGGTGGCAAGAGAGGAGGGCCCTGAGGATGAGGGGGATTTGAACTGTCAGCAATGGAGTGGAAGAGCCAACAACTTCAGCAAAGAGAGAGGAGGACAGCACCATGGACGCACGAAGTCCAACAGTTGTCTGCAGGCAGTGAACGTAAAGGGGAGGTTGCTGGTAAAGTTGGGAGGAAAAGCTGGAGTCCGTCCAGGAAGGACCTTGAGCACAAAGCACAGCCCAGGGAGGACCTTGAGCATTCATCCCGAATGCGTGGGCGTTGGGGGGAGGGTGCTGAAGTTTGGTGAGCTGGGATGTTGATGGGTCAGGAATGTGCTTGTGGAAAAGTATCTGGAATGAGGGGGAGGAGAAGTCCTGGTAGGAAGAGCAGCTGTGAGGACAAAAGGTGAAAACTGATTGGAGAGGGCTTTAAGAATCCAGATAGCTTGAGCTGGTTTGCCTGAAACAGATAGCACATGAGAAATCTTCAACAAATATTTACTGAGCAACAACCATGAGTCAGCAGCAGCCCTGGGGGGCACAATAGTGGGTTAGAGCCAAGGACACCACCTGGACAGAGCTTGCAGACTAGTGAAGGAGACAGACATTAATCAAATACCCACACTGTTATTACACCTGTCCTGGTTTGTAATTATAAGAAAAATTTAGGATGTTAAGTATACAAGAAGGGGTAACCTAGTCCGGGGAAGTTGAGGTTGGCTTATTGCAGGAAGTGTCACTGAGCAGAAGTCTGAAGGATGCAGAGGAGTTGACAGGGCATAGAGGAGGTGAAGTGCACCTTAGGCAGAATGACCGTATGGTAAGAGCAGTGCTGGGGGAGCTGAAGGCCAGGGTGGTTGGTTTGTGGTTTGAGTGCCCACAAAGAAAGGTGCTGATGCCACTCAGAAAAATAGAATCCAGGAAAAGTGCTGGTTCCTGGAAATAGGAAGTGGACAAGAAGCAAAAAAAATGAGCAGCTGAAGTAGTAGAAGAAGAATTCAGGACTTTCCAACCCACCTCCCACCCACCTTGAGCATCCCCATTCGAAGCACTTCTCAATCAAGCTAGATCAGCCTCCTGACCTTGCATGAAGTCCCAAATGTGACACCTCTGTCCTGAAAGGCGGACCACAGGGCAGTTTGGAGCTAGACTCCCTTCCTCAGTCTTGTCCTCCAGTCGTTGCCAACGGACCTTCAGGATGAACCAGAAATATGGGGTGCTGAAGAGGGTTGGAGCCCAGTTATCATAGGAGAAGTGCGGGTTCTTCCGGTTCATGGCCAAGATATGCTGCTTGACTCTCCTGGGAAACAGTTTTAGTTGTACTTTGCCCAAAGTCACATGCAGGGCCACCTGCAGGAGTATCCAGAGCCTCTTCAGCCACAGCCCTGGCTGGGGCAGCCCCATCTCGTCACAGCCAGAGCTGGCTCTGAGGCTGATGGACAGAGACGCAGCAGCTGGGCCACAGTGGGCGGAGCTGAACCAAGGTGCAGGGTGGAAGTAACCAACCCTGGCCAGGAGGAAGGTACCAGGACAGAAGGTGTTTGCCTTCCTGCCAATGGAACGGAAAATTCCCAACCAGGGGCTGCAAAGATCTGTTCTAATTATTATCATTCCTGATTCTTTGCCTTAACCTTTGAGAGATTCTTGGACTAGAAGACTTCAGATCTTACATTCTCCCTCTGATAAATGTTCAAGAACAAACACTTTAAAAGATCACACTTAGCCGTAACCGGTTTGGCTCAGTGGATAGAGCGTCGGCCTGCGGACTGAAAGGTCCCGGGTTCGATTCCGGTCAAGGGCATGTACCTGGGTTGCGGGCACATCCCCAGTAGGGGGTGTGCAGAAGGCAGCTGATCGATGTTTCTCTCTCATCTATGTTTCCAACTCTCTCTCTCTCTCCCTTCCCCTCTGTAAAAAAAAATCAATAAAATATATTTTAAAAAAAATTAAAAAAAAAAGATCACACTTAAAGGGACTCTGTGGTCCTTTAGAAAGGTTCTGTTGCAAGCAAGTACGTCCTAGTGTTAATTATTCTTTTAATAAAGTAAATACTTCATTTACTAATGAAAGTTGTTTTTTTCTAGCTGGTGGTTGAGTGTTTCTGGGGGCAGAGGCATCCCTGGAGTATTTGGGTCTGGAAGCCCCCAGGCAGAGGCAGAGCTGGGGCCAGCTCCGGAACACTGGGCCGTGACCTTTTCCCTTAGCACTGGGGGCAGAGTACAAATACAGCTCTCTGATCTCAGTGGTGTGGTGGTTTAGAGTGGGGAAGAAACAAACAGAAAATTGCCACTCAGTTTTCAAAGTCTTTATAGTCTATTGTTTTGTCTTTAAAGGTCTATGTAATTGGACTCAGAGATACAGAGAACAAACTATGGTTGCCAGTTGAGTGAAAAAGGTTAAGAAATACAAATCGGCAGTTACAAAATAGTCATGGGGAAGTCAAGTGCAACCTATTTCAGTTCTCCCTCACCCACACATGGCTTCAAACAATCTTAGCTCTTAACAGCAGGTACATTAAAAAAAGGAAAAGAGGTATGTGTGTTGAGACTTCAAAAGAAAAAGATTAAAGTGGTACCACTGTCCAACCCCGGGCATCAGGCGGACTGTCGTGGGAGGAAAGGAACAAATGACCACACTTACTGGGGTGTTCGATCGCTCATTCACAAACTCAGAGTAATGGACTCATCCATTCCCTCGCTGGTTCATTACATTTTTATGGCCAAAAAGAATTGGGAGAAAAGGATTGCTGACTTTATTTTCACAATCGTCCTTCGTTACGCTGTTTTTTATTTCAATAGGAAAAGAGGTATAAACAAACAGAAAATAGACTCCGCACTCTAGAGATCTCTCTGCGCCCCGCCAGAGCGAGGCGAGCAGAGGGGGGCCTTCTCGGCGCGCCCACCTCGTGCGTGTCTCTTTAAGAACCGGAGCCTCGCACGGGAAGCAGCGGGCGAAGGGAGCAGGTAGGTCGGGTTGCCGCCGACCTAAGTCTACCGGTGTTGCTGTCTCTTTAAGGAGGCTGGGGCTCTGGAGAAGGCGGAGAAGTCCCGCCCCCGGATCTCCGGTTTCCGGCAACTCGGAGGGACCGGAACCTGCTCGGAGCATCCCAGGACCCAGCCTTCCTGGGCGGCTGGACAGCTGGACGGCTAGACGGCTGGACCCCTAGGCCCCCCGAGGTGAGGCGGCCAGGTGTCCGGGGCCTGCCTGGGACCGAGTGGGCCCGGGACCCCCTACCTGCCCCGGCCACTGAGGCCCAGCTCCTCTACCTGAAACACCGCCTCTGCTTCTTGGGCAGCTCTCTCCCAGACCTTCCTTTGCTCAGGGTATTACAGGCTGCAGGGTCGCCATCCCTCCAGCGCCTGCTGTTTGGCTGTGCATAAGCGCTGTACCGTCTTATTTAATGCCCCCGCCCCCAACACCGTATGTGTAGGTACCACTATGAACCCATTTTACAGATGAGGAAACTGAGGCCCCAGGCGCCCACAGTTACACAGCGAGGAGCAGCAGAATCGGGAATGAAACCCAGGTCTGTCTGGCCTCAGAGCCTATGACCTTAACCACGGCCTAGGCTTAACTGTTCTTGCTTTTCACTGTCCTCAGAGACACCTTTCTCAACCTCATCCTTCCATCTCCAGGCTGTACCTGGTCCCTAAACACAGAGTGAGTGAAATTGGATGAAATCCCTTTGGACTCTCCCCCACTTAGTTTCTTTATAATATCTAATGCTTTATCTTTATATAAAAACTATGGAACCCTACTAAAAAGAAAAGCAAATAACATTTCGAATGCCGAAATGAGATTTCTTTGCAGATATTATATTTTTGTATCCTCTTAAGTTTATTCATTTTTCCCTTTTAGACCTCTGCAAATTTGCTTTCTAATAATTGGGAGAAGAACCACTGGCTGAATGGCAGCTGTAGATGACTTGCAGTTTGAAGGTACATCAGTTGGGTACCCACTTTCATCTTTATGATCGGTATTTTTGCAGTCACAGCAACATATTTTCATTGCAAAGCTGGCACATACATTAAAGAAGATCATTTCAAACATCTGGGTAAAAGAATGTTGGCTCCATCCAGGTTTTTCTGTTTGGCCACACCAGCCGTTCTTTTTCGCCAAATAACCCTTCAGATGGTAAAATCATAAATTTAGTACACTGTTTACAGAAAATCTGAATAGAATTCCTGCTTTGCTTCTACAGACAGGGCTGAAATAGTTATTTTATTCTCCCTATTTACCAATGAGGAAATTGAGGCATAGGAAAATTAAGTAATTTGCCTGAAGGTCATCCTATATAATAAAAGGCTAATATGCAAATCAACCAAATGGCGGAACGACCAGTCGCTATGACGCGCACTGACCACCAGGGGGCAGATGTTCAACACAGGAGCTGCCCCCTGGAGGTCAGTGCGCTCCACAAGGGGAACGCCGCTCAGCCAGAAGCTGGGCTCACTGCTGGCGAGTGCAGTGGCAGTGGCAGGAGCCTCTCCTGCCTTTGCAACAGCGCTAAGGATGTCCTACTGTCGACTTAGGCCCGCTTCCTATGGAGCTAAGCTGTCAGTGGGACATCCCCCCAAGGGCTACCGGACTTCGAGAGGGCACAGGCCAGGCTGAGGGACCCCCCCTGAGTTCACAAATTTCATGCACCAGGCCTCTAGTATAGTTAATAAGTGCTAAAGCAGGGTTTGTACCCAGGCAGCTGACCTTCACAACCTATGCTATCTCACTACTATCTGAGGAAGAGATATGATGAGAAATCCATTTCATCAGCAAAAACCATCAGTTCTATTTTCAAAGTACTTCCAGCATCTGATCACCTCTCACCACCTCTGCTCCTCTCCCACCATGCTCAAGGTCATGATCACCTCTTGTCTGGATTATAGCCCTTACCTCTGGTCTTCCAGTTTCCTCCCTTGCTCCTCTCCAGTAGGTATTTTCCAGCCAGGAAGCCATATCATTCCTATACACCTTCCAGTGGCTCTCATCTCACTAGGAGTAGAATCCAGAGCCCATTCTGTGCTTAGGAGGCTCTCCATGATCCAGCCCTCCACTCTCTGATTTCATCTCCTACTACTCTTGCCCTTTCTCTGCTGTACCCACACAGGCCCCATCACTCTTTCTTCTGGACACCAAGTACACTTAGAGCTTAGGGCTTTTGTGCCATGTTTCTGTTTGGGATATTCTTACTCCAGATAGCCACATGGCTTGTTCCCTCATTCTGTTCAGATCTCACTTCATGAGAGAGGCCTTCCTTGACCATCCTATCTCAGTACAGTGTGGGAACATTCAAGCACAAAGAATGGCATATACAAAGTACCTGCGAAGGGAGGAAGTGTGCTTGATTTTCCCCCCAAGTAATTGAAAGAAGGCCAAGGAACCAGAGCACAGATGGTGGGGGAGGCTGTCATAGGGTGAGATTTGAGGGTGGAGAGGAGCCCAATCTCTCAGGACTTTATAAACCATGTTAAGGACTCGCTCTGGGGGTCATGGAAGGCTTCCTCAAGGAAGAGTGGTAGTGTTAGATGAACAAGTGGAGTTCAGCACTCTCCAGGTGGACGGCATTGTGTCAGGAACGGAACAGAGGCAAAACAGCATGGGATATGCTAGGATGTAGAAGTAGAGAATGTTGGTGGCAGAAATAAGAACATACTAATCTTGCCCTCAAGGGCAGAAATGGGCAAGAATAACTGAGAGCGGAAGGTGTGAATAGTTATCATATATTCTACATTTCAATCAAACTATGCCATCTGCTATTTCTCAGACACGGGACATGTTTTCCATCTTCTTGGTCTTGCCCTTCCCATTTGCTTTGCATGAGATGCCATCCCTGCCCCTCTGACCATCCTTCTCATATGGCAGCTTCTCCAAGAAGCCTTTCCAAATCCCATCAGCTAGATGAGTCATCATCTCCTTTGAACCTCTTTGGCCTTTGTACCTCTAACCCGACACTCTCTGTTCTTCCTTCTGACAGTCCCTTCCCCCCGGTAAACTACTGTATTTAAATATAAAACACACACACACACAAAAAAAAACTCTAAGTTTATCTTCCTTGGTCTGATTCCCCTCAGGCAAAGTCGTGACGTGTCTTTTAAGTGTCAATGCTATGTCCAGTCATTAAATGATAGCTATAACAATATTTACTATCTCATTCTCCAAATCTTTCTGTAAGGAAGGTGTTATCTACATTCCATAGTTGAAGAAAAGAGACTCAGAGGTATAGAGTAATTTACCCAGGGTTATGGAGTCTTAACTTAAACAAAGGACCTCATGCTCCAGAGCCTCATGCTGCTTCAACAGTCAAACAGTGGAGACTGAAGCTTAAATAATTGTAACATACCAGCCACCTAGTTAATCTCAATCACTTTAGTTCTCTCCCTAAAACTATTTGCATAGCTAGAAGGCAATAAGAGTGGGCTTGGCTAACTAAGAGCCCCATCCTATTGTCAGTCACAGGATTCATGCCTTGCTTGTGGTGTTATAATGGTGCCCTGCTGGTACCCTGTCTGAGTCCTGCCAAGTTCTGGAGATGCCCTGAATTGCATTCAAGAGCAGTTAAATAAAGTTCATTCGGATATCCAGGGACAGGAAGTCTCAGTCATTGCTTGTGGACATGAATAGGTTAGGTTTTTTTGGAAAGCAGTTTTAAAAGTATGGCTCAAGAGCCTTAAAAATGGTTTGCACCCTTTGA